GTGTTTGGGTTTACAACCAATGAGAAGGCAGAACAACATACTTTAAAAATACGAACCGACAGGAAGTAGGTCTTTTTTCGCGAAGCTGGGACAGCAGGAGGAAGGGTGAGATTTTAGCTCTGAGCTCTGACTTCTCGGCTTTCTCTTTTACATTGTTTCTGTGTTTCTTATTTAATAAGACGGTTGGTTACATCTACAACAATATTCTTTTCTTTTCTTTTTTTGAGGCAGGATTTCTCTGTGTAATTTTGGTGCCCATCCTGGATCTCACTCTGTAGACCAGGCTGGCCTCGAACTCACAGAGATCCACCTGGCTCTGCCTCCCAAGTACTGAGATGAACTATGTGTGCCACCACTGAACGACAACAATATTCTTAAAGTAAAAAAAAATACTTTTTGATTATTGATCATTTTTCTGTATAGTGACTGTGATAGCCATTATTGGCTGTCAACTTGACTACATCTAGAATTAACTAAAACCCAAGTGGCTGGGGGCACCTATGAAGGAGTTTTCCTTAATTAAATCATTTAAAGTGGGAGGACCCAGTTGTAATCTGGATCTTTAGTTGAGAAGACCCACCTCTAATCTGGGCCACAGCTTTTGCTTGCAGCTTATATAGTATAAGGACATGAAAAAAGGAAATTCATTCTCTTTGCCGGCTTGCTCTTACTCTCATTAGCAAGTCCATTCCTTCACTGATATTAGAGCCTACATCTTCTGGGTTCCAGCACATACTGAAGACCACTTGAGACATTCAGTCTCATGGACTGAACAACTACTGGATTATTGGACCTTCGGTTGGTAGACAGCCATTGTTGGACTAGCTGGACCAAGTCTGTAAGCCATTTAGCGATGTGCGAGGCAGTGGGCTAGCTCTTAATAGGCATAATTTCAGTTCTCAGAGCAGTTCTGTGGAGCTGATACTTTTATTTCCATCTGAACGATGGAAAACAGACTCAGAAAAAGAGAGACTTGCTTAATTTCGAAGTTTTTAAGTGGGGTCAAAATCCAACGCCAAACTCTGTCTAACTTCAGCACTCTTTCTCACGCCCTTTCTTCCCCTTGTGCTAAATTAGTTTACCTTGAACATTTCCAGAAATTCACAGCTATCTCACATAACATATCCCCTGACCTCAGCTCCTTTAAGTCCCCAGCAGCTCCACAAAAGAGTGAAGGCGTTACTCCCACAGTGCAGTATCAGAGAGCTTGTAAGTGTTTATTCCAAGTGACGGAAGAGGAATAACTTATCGTTTCCATTCGCAACTAAATACTTGACAAGAGCAGGCGCTGGGAGAGGGATTTGAAGCCGGCCAGTTCGCTAATTTGGTGTGTGATGTTGTCACAGTTATGCATCAGCTGAGCTTGATGCTGACAGGCAGTTATCTTCTGGGAGCCAAGTGAATTTTGTGAGCGTGGAATCTAGAGATGCTCGTTCTGCTTACTCAAACGACTTCAAACAGATTCTTGATTAGGACAATGTGGTGGTGGTGGGGGGAGAAAGTATGATGGCAGATCCCAGAAATTCAAAAAAATACACATTTTTCAAACACTGTGGTTCCCGTGTTTCTCCCTCCAGTGTCTTTCGATAAATATATGGACAGTTGCAATTTTAAAAGTTAAATTGGTAGTTTCAAATTGTGTTTTCTTCAAATGACTTTAAAGTTTAGAGCAGTTTGAGCGTCGCAGCGACGTGAAGCGCATGCTGTAGGAGTTCCCTACATATGCCTTCCCTGACGTAGCAGCCTCCTCCATCATCAACGTCCCCCACCGTAATGGCACATTTGTTATAACTGATGAACTCATCACCCACACAACATCACCACCCGAACTCCATAGGGTTTGTGCCTGGAGCTGCACAATCTACGAGGTGGGGTGTGTGCATGGGGATATGGATCTTCCACTATGCCACCCCATGGGGTGTTTTTAAAGCTGTTTCTTCCTATTGTCTCCTTTGCCACAGTGCTGAATCTGATCTGCTGTGATATGGAGTGCCAACATCTGCTGGGTGAGTCTTGTTGTACCCGCCTTGGCAGATTCTTCTCTGCCTTTTAACACTGGCATTTTTTTTTCTGACTTCTTCAAAAATTGAATTCAGTGCCATGAAGGTCGGGCTTTCATGAATGAGGCAGCGGATGGACATGAGCTTGCAGATCAATTTCTTGCTTCTTTTCTTCCACAGTTGCCTGCTCTGAGGAGTAGTGATTGTATGCGGTCACCCAGTGGCTGTCCCACATCAGCCAGCAAGCACTGGCCCCCGGTGTCCCCGACTCGCTCCTGGTACTGACAGCTCATTTGGACAGCAATGATTGGCGTGGAGATGAAGTCTCAGTGGGGTTCTGTCATACTCAATCTGTGCTCCACGGCCAGACCTTGTCTCTGAGGAGAGAAAATTGGAGACGTTAGGATATGAGGTGGTGATGGCAGTGTCTGGGACACGAGCCATCTCTGGGACTGCTGGACAGAAAGGCAAAGAGCCAAGGCTGGAAGAATACATGAGTGTGTGCAGAGCTTCAGGAGGGCATGAGCTGATTTCAACACAAGCACCGAGCATCACCATCATGTCACATGAAGGAATGGGGAGAGGGTCCTAAAGGACTTAAAACCTGACATAAGAAAAGCCATATCACACACAAACACACACACAGACACACACACACACACACACACACAGACAGACACACACACACATACACACACACACACAGATACACAGACATACAGACATACAGACACACACAGATACACACAGACACACACAGATACAGACATACGCACATACACAGACATACAGATACACAGACACAGACACAGACACAGACACAGACACACACACACACACACACACACACACACGAAAGAATTCTTTCCACTATGTTTAGTTTCTGTTTTCTTTGGTCATTTCTGCTTTTTCAAAAATTTATCATTTTTTCTCTGACAATTTCTCAAAATGCTATCATTTGTTATACTTAGAATTAGAACTTTTACATTTAAAATTCTCATTTATTTTCCCCCCAAAGTCAAATCCCTATAAGTAAAAGTTTAAAATAATTGGCTTAAAATAAAAAATAATGTCCTCATAAAAGAAGATTTCTTAATCAGAAGACAGAACCGTAACTCAGAAGGAAAAGGAGTTAACGCTGAAATGTTAAAATTCTGTGGGTCAAATTAAAAGATAGAAGATATTGCCAACGCATATATCTGAAAAGATATGTAAAGAATAGCTACATATCAACCAAGAGCCAGACAACCCAGTAATAAAGTAGGCAATAAAAAATTAGAGGAAAATAATTGAATAAAAAAAAACCTTAATGGCAAAGAAATCTAAAAAACAATCAGAGAAATGCAAATCAAAACAAGAGAACTGTTATTCTGAATGTATTATATGGAGAAAAATAAAAAAAAAACCAACAATACCATATGCTAGAGATGTAGTGAAATGGGGTATAAACTGGTAGGCCAGTATGAAGAGCAACTTAATGAAGTTGAAAGTTGAAAATGTGTGTACAGCACAACACATCAGCTTCTCTTACTAGATAGAACCCTAAAGCATATTCAAACTGAGACACCTAAGGTTAAACATAAAAATCTTCCTGCATCACTGACTGAATTTGTGAAAAGGAAAAACAACCTTCATGATATTGTTACTAACCAAAAGTTTGAAAAAAAAAAGAATTTTATATGTGGTTTATAACCAGATAGTAGGCTATGGAGATATAAAAATGTGTGGAGGAATAATTTATATACAAAGCTTACCATAGGCACCCCTTCTCTCTCTCTCTCTCTCTCTCTCTCTCTCTCTCTCTCTCTCTCTCTCTCTCTGTATATGTATAGGTGTACATGCCCTTATGTGTATATTTGGAGGCGGAAGGAAGACATAAAGTGCCTCTCTGTATTATTGTCAGCTTCATTTCTTTGAGACAGGGTCTCTCCCTGAACCTGAACAATGCCGTTTGGCCTGGGCTGGCTGGTCAGTGAGTATCTAAAATCTGCCTGTTTCAGACTGGAGAGATGGCTCAGAGGTTACGAGCACCGACTGCTCTTCCAGAGGTCCTGAGTTCAATTCCCAGCAACCACATGGTGGCTCACAACCATCTGTAGTGAGATCTGGCACCTTCTTCTGTGTACATAATAAATAAATAAATCTAAAAAAAACCCTGCCTGTTTCTGCCCCACAATGCTGGGGTTACAGGCACATGCAGCCACAACTGGCTTTTACGTGGGTGCTGTTGAATTTAAACTCAGGTTTTAATGGCAGCCATCTTACCCACCGAGCCGTTTGCCCATCCCTGGCTTTTGATTTCTCGAGGTTTAAAAATGTATATTTGCTTCTGAATGTTTGAAGACATTTTATTATTTTAAAAAAAAGAGGAAAGTCTTGAGGTAGTACAACATACAAGTTTGCTGAAATCTAAACAGGAAATTTTAAGGGAACTTCAGTGTAAGCTCAAGTTAAATTTAGAAGAATGCTACATTAATTAGAATTAGTTGAAAAATAGCTAAGTGCATGTAAAATGCAAATTTTCTTATTTGTAACAAAAACAACAAAGGTCTGTTGACTTGTTTTAAAAGCCTGCGGGGTGATTTTTTTCATGAAAGAGCAAAACAAAAAAGAGAAAGGAAATAAATGAACAGATAATCCAATTAGAATGCTTGTCATGATATCCACTGATGCTGCTGATGTTTGCCAGTGTTTGAGTGGCATTCGGTAGGATACTGTTCCAGCGCCTGCCACAGAGAACTGATAAAACAACCTAAACAAGGAAAAGCACCTCCCCTCCCTTCCTCCTTAGTGTAATGATGGAAAAGGAGCTCTGCAGTGTGACTCAGGCTTTTTGTCTCTTATCCTGTGCGTGTGTGTGTGTGTGTGTGTGTGTGTGTGTGTGTGTGTGTGTGTGTGTGTCCTTGTGCACTAGGGGCACTTGGAGGTTAGAGGACAGTCTCAGATGTTCTTCCTCCAGTGTCTTCTACCTTTTTGTTGTTGTTGTTGTTTTGTTTTGACTGGGTTCCTCACTGGCCTGGAACTTGCCAAGTAGGCTAGGCTGGTTGGCCAGCAAGCCCTAAGCATCCACCTCTCTCCTCCTCCCCAGTGGGATAACATCATCATGCTTGTGTGTGTGTGTGTGTGTGTGTGTGTGTGTGTGTGTGTGTGTGTGTGTGTGTGTTTTGAGAGAGTGGTGGTGCTGGGGATTGAACGCAGGTCCATTTATATACTGCGGTCTCTCTCCAGATCTGTTTTCTTATTCTCCACTTACACTGTCCTTGGTGCTGCTGCTCCGGCTTCCATCATCACTTCAGCCATCTCGCAGGAGGTGAAAGGAAGACAAGGGCACACTCCATGCACCGTCGTGCACATCTGTTCTGAATCTATTCCACGGCTACACCTAGCTGCAAGGGAGGCCGAGACAGACAGTTTTTATTATGAGTGTCTATGTGCCCAGCTAAAATTCAGTAGTCCTAAGTAGAAAGGCAAGAATAGCTGTTTGATAACAATTAGAAATTTCTGCTCAAGGCACAAAAGAAACTCTTTACCAGTTGATATGAAAATCTTCCAAGTGAAGGGAATCCCTTTGTTTAGGAAAAAAGCTTTATGGGTTATTAGGGTCTGAGGATAGAATTAGGACAGCTAAAAAGAGAAGGCAGAATAAAAGAAATCTGGATATTTCTCTACAAAGGTAAGTGAAGATGGGAGGAGTATCTTTGTAAGGAGGGAGACAGAGAGTGCCAAGTTCCATTATCCAAGCCTGGACACCTCAAGTTTATATTAAATTACATTAAATTCATATTAAAATTATATTATACACAAGGAAAAGCTCTGTGAGACTGGATTTTAGATAAGGGGCAAGGAGGATAACTGATTATCTGTGGGACCAAATATTGTGCATGACAGAGAAAGCACCCTGGAACGGAACAGTTCACATGGGGCAGCATGGTGGTACTCTGGATCCATCAGTTCTACACCTTTGGATCCGATCAACTGTAACACAAAATGTTTTTATCTGAACTGAACACATACAGATACTTTTTCTTGTGATTATGCCATAGACAATGCAGTGTAGCAACATTTACCTTGTAGTAGGTACTTTAAGTAATCTCAAGCTAATTGAAAGTATACAGGACAGTGTGGGGAGGTTATAGGCAAACACTATGCCATTTTACATGAGGGCCTTCCACATCTGCAGATTTGGGTACCTGTGGGAATGCCAGAACAAATCTTACAAACAATTCTACTCAGAGCACCCTCAGCGTTACACTCGGTTGTCACCTGTGAGTCTAGTTTTGGAAGCATTATTTCCCAAGACTCCCTTCAGGGCTCCTACCTTATTCATGCTGCTGTGCCTTGGCCCTAGAAAGAATGCAGACCAGCCTTCACCCATGGGCTTTACAAAACTCAGGCTCCCATCACTAGAGAGAGAGTACTGAACCAGAACTCCATGCAAGAACGCCTCTGAACTCAATACATTTGTGTTAGTAATATTGTTTGAAAATAATCACAAGAACAGTCATGAATAAAATTGTCATTGTCTTAGATGCATGTATGCCTCTGTAATTTGAAAAAGCTTTTGTTTTATAGCTTAAGGTTAAAAATAATGTTTAAGTTGATATTGTTTTTAAAGTTTTATATATCTCAAGTAGACATAGTGAGTGACATTCATTCATTCATAGCTTTTAATTGACTGTTCTAGTTATTGATGCAACAAATTCATTAAAAATTTTTGTTGTATGTATTCACTGCACATGGTACTGTGTTAGAGAAGAAATTTTCATATAAGTATGTATTATTTTACATTGGACATATTCTTTATATGCTCTCCCATCTTTCCCATCTCCTTCCCATCGGTCCCCTTTGGTCCCTTAGACATGCATGCTTTTATTTTCATGTCATGTATACACATGTGATTTAATGTGTCTGTATGGAATCCAAGAACTACATAGAAAAGAAAGCATAATATTTGTCTTCCTGGGGCTGGCTTAATTCCCTTACTATGATTATCCCCAGTTGTATCCATTATTTTGCAAAATGACATAAATTTGTTCTTCTTTGTGGCTGGAAAAATTTCCATTGTGTATACATATCACATTTTCTTCATCCATTCCTCCACTGATAGACACCAGGTCAGTTTAATAACTTAGCTGTTGTGAATAGTTCTGTGATAAACACTGCATCGAGTATCTGTGTGATAGTCAGCAAATATTTTTGAGCATCTATTGTGCACATTTGCCACTGAGCTAGGAACGGTACATAAATGGGGAATGAGATTCCTTTCAGCCCGCAGACTTTGCCAGAGGTGAGGCAGGTAAGGGGAAGAGTAATGTAAGACAGTGTGAAGCTGCTGCAGAACAGAAAAGCTTACTGTGCTGTGCCTGTTGATACCAAATAAATACACAAGTTTTAAAGCTATGGTCATTTGTGGTATCTTTCAGATAAAGCGGCGGGGGGGGGGGCACCCAAGAAAACGAAACTGCAGACTGGGAGAGCCCTTCTGGTTTCCAAAGCATCTGGGATTTCTTGGTATTGTTTATAGAACAGAGCCTGAGAAAAATCTTTGCTGCTAACAAGCCAAAATTGAGTTTATAATTAGACAAGAGGGCCTGACCACGAGGCAACAAGGGGAGATGGAACATGGCTAGGAATCCAAGAGGAGATGGAGAGGAAGCAGTTTGAAACTAATTTAAAATTTCAGCTTTTAAAAATGTCTTGACGTCCATTGGTACCCAGCCTGACCCATCTCAGGAACTGGATGAAAAGCCCCATTGTATAGCTAGTTACCTTTCAAAATATAAGTAGTAACTACCAAAAACTTGTAGTGCCAGGGGCTTCTTATATATGGTCTCAATCTTCATAAACATGCCCCATGGGGGTTCTTAGTCTCACTGTATGGGAGTGGAAACCGAGACTCAGAAAGCATAATTTATTCACTTTCTGCTGTTAGAGGTAGAGGTATTCTGAGCCTCAGACCCTATGATCTTTACAATAAGACCATTTAGCTGTTCATTATGTTTATGTACATGTTTCTTACTTCCAAAAGATATGTATAGTGAAACACACTTTAGTAAATGTGTAGAGAAAGCAGTTATGATGAAGAAGAAGGAAATCAAAAGCCCTTTGAAGGAGGAGCAAGGCCATCAAACTATCAACTCCCCACACAATGGTTGGTCGAGTAAATAGATTAATGGATTAAACTAGAATTAGCCAGATTAAACTTAGAAGTTTCTCTAGAGCAAAGAGGGAGTTGTCAGAGTTATATATCCAGCATCAAAAGGCATATCAATAAATTAGTGAAGCAATTTGTCACGTGGACATTAATGCCAGGACAACATAAATGATGTCTGAGATAATATTTCAGAAGAAATCCAGATGATTTATACATGAAAACCATTTTCATGGTACCTAAAAATACCTGGGGAACCCTATGAAACATTAAGAAACAAGCTAATATTCCGTAGGCCTGTCTCCTTCTGGTGTGCTGGTTAATGCAGTCATTAAGCTCAGACATTGGAGAATGATCACAGACTGGGGCTGGTAAGATCCCAGACCCCTGTAGACCCGACAAAGTGTGATGAAGAGAGAGTCAGTGGGTGGGAAACCAGATGACCCAAGGTCCAGATCTAGTCCCCCTTTCCTAGCATTTCGCTCTTTTCTCCTTTCATCTTCTCATTCGTGGATTTATGGAGCACAGTGACAATTACTGAGATCAGTAAGAACGGCCACATAGTTATGCGGGTTACTGTGGGTTTTGTTTGTTTGTTTGTTTTGTTTTCTGATATCCAATTGGGAAGGAATCACAATTGCCTTCTCCCAATCCAGCCACCACTAAGGTTGTCTTCCATTAGCTAGGCAGGAGGGGCAGAATGGAGCATGCGTAGGTGGGCACTTAGATGACTTTGGCCAATAATAAATAAGAGTGATGTGGCACACAAGGGACACTGTGCTGTGGAGTTTTCTGCTTAGACTGGTGGGCATGTCTTACTGCCTAGCAAGGATTCCTAGAGCCCCTGGTTCTTAGTGGAGGACAAACTATTGTAGAATATTACTTTAAGATGTGCTACATTTGTTTATGCTCTGGAACATTTGTTTAATGATGCAAAGATGTGTTGTATTCTTTTATGTTGCATTTGTTTAACTCTGTGAGACTGGGTTACTTTGCCTGTCTAAAACACCTGATGGTCTAATAAAGAGCTAAATGGCGTATAATGAGGCAGGAGAAAGGCTAGGTGGGGCTGGCAGGCAGAGAGAATAAATAGAAGGAGAAATCTGGGAGGAAAGGAAGAAAGAGCAAGAGAAGAAGGAGAGGAGGACGTTGGGACCAACCACACAGCCACACAGCTAGCCACAGAGTAAGAGTGAAAGTATGATTTACAGAAGTAAGAAAAAGAAAAAGCCCAGAGGCAAAGGTAGATGGGATTATTCAAAGTTAAGGAAAGCTGGCAAGAAACAAGCCAAGCGAAGGCTGGGCATTTATAATTAAGACTAAGCCTCATTGTGTGACTTATTTGAGAGCTGGATGGCAGACCTGCCCCCCCCCAAAGAGCAAAATCAACCACCACCAACAAACTCCTTCAGAGAGAGAGAGAGAGAGAGAGAGAGAGAGAGAGAGAGAGAGAGAGAGAGAGAGCAATACCAGCAGACTGGTGAGCCTCTGACCAAAGGTCACTACATGGATTTGCTAACCTTTGGCTTTAGCCAAGCCCCTACCCAATGTCAGCTACCTTATCTGTGCACAGAGAGAGCGGCATCCACCTTGGAAAGCTTGTGTAAGTGTTAAGATAGTTCTGTGACAGCGGCAGTCAATAAGTGACAAACAAGATGACATGATGATCCATCTTCACTGTCAGCTTGGTGGAAGTGAGAGTCACCGTAGAGAGACAGCCCTGAGTATCTGTGCAAATGTTTCCTGAAAGGGCTGAGAGGGGAAGACCCGCCTTGAGTGTGGGCGGCACCGTCCCTGTGGAATGGGGCCCCAGACTCAATAGAAAGGAGGAATTAAGTTGAACACCAGCGTTCATCATCTCTCTCTGTTTTCTCACCATGGACCCGATGTACCAGCTGCCTTACGCTCTGGCTGCCATGGCTTCCCTGCCATGATTGATTGTAGCCTTGAACTATGAGCCAGAAGAGACCCTCCCATATTTGAGTTCCTTTTGCCAGGTGTTTTGCTTCCGTGATGAGAAAAGTAATGAATACCGATGTCTATCTAATTTTCTTTGATTCTCCTACTTGAAGCCATGGAGATTTAAATTAATATTGACCTCTGTTCTTTTCAGCTGTCTTGAAATTTTATACTTTTTTCCACTTCAGTCTTTTTACTAGATGATGGGATGTATTTAGTCAGAAAATACATCGGACTCTGCACTGTTGAACAGCCGGGGACTGCCATAGAGCCGAG